CTTGTTCTCAGAGCCCTGGTTCTCCTCAGAGCTCTTGGTCTCAGAGCCCTTGTTCTCATCAGAGCTCCTGTTCTCTTGAGAGCTCCTGTTCTCAGAGCCCTTGTTCTCAGAGCCCTTCCATCTAACATCTGGCTGCCTGTGAGAACCTTGGCTGAGAACTGTAAGCATGCCACACTCAGCTGCTGTGCTCTAGTAGAAGAGAGGTGGGAACTAATAGCTGTGCCCTTAGAGTTGTGACATGGCAGGCTTCTGGCAGCGTTTCTTTCCGCTCTCCGTCAAGCAGTCACAGGCCGCTGAGTGTAGGTCCACTTTAAGCGCTGTGGAAAACTCAGCGCAGGTGGGTGCTGTTGCAGGCTCCTTGCAGACTCGAGGCTCGCCCGCAGCCCTCTCCTGGCTCCTCTGTTGAGCAGCAGCTTCTTCTCTGGGTCATCCCAGCGGCCTCCTGACTGGACTCCTGTTCTTGTCTTCCTGGAGTCTTAGTTCAGCTCAGGTCGCCGTGTACCATGGCTGGCATTCTTCACTCCCCGCAGCCACCTCTTCAGCTGATGCCTGCTTGGCCTCCAGGCTCTGCATACTGCTCCTGCTGCCTCGCTGTGCAGCCCTCCTGCGTGCAGCACCTTTGGCCTCTGGCGCTCCTCTTGCCTGTTGGCTTTTCTTACAGTGTGCTTCCCTCTGACAGGTCCCCTTCCCCACACATCTGCAGGGCCCACTTGCCACCCCCTGCGCAGATCTTTCCCCTGTACAGAGTGACACCCACCTCATCCACGAGAACTCTGCCCCCAGGCACCAAGGCTGAGGGCCAGAGACCTGGTTCTCGGGAACAAGCCTTGCTTCCCACTGGGAACGCTTGGGTGGAGTGGGCCCTCTGTGATGGCTGGCCACCATCTTGAGCCCTCATAAAGGAAAAGGCATGAGGGGCTGCTAGCTCTATGTGTCTGTGGAGGTGGCATACTTAGGTTTCCTTGACTCACTCCTGCTGTCACCTGGCAGGGATTAGGAGCTCCTCCTTATGCCTGGAAGCCTGAGGGTAGGAGGGGGGGGTCACAGCCTCAGGTGTTGCCTGCTCAGAGTGGGACCAGGAGACAACCAAGGTGCCTCATCCAGCGAGTCAGGGCACAGTGACCTGGGCAGCAGAGGGGAGGAGATGGCATGGAAGGAGGAGGCCAGGCAGCTCTCTAGAGAGCTGTGCTGGAATCGCTGGGCAGAGAATTGTCCAGTGGCAGCTTGGGAGCAGGAAATGGCAGCCAAGCTGCAACTTCCCTCTGGTCTCGCTGAGTTGTTCAGGAGGCGACAACGTCCGCATGGCTGTCTATCACAGGGACAGGTCAACGTGGGAGAGGAGCTGCCATTCTTTTAGGGTGTGCCCTCGCCCTGAGAGTGCTGTCTGGTTCTGTCACAGTAATGAAGCAGCCTGGGCTAGGAGAGAAGCCGCTCAGCAGTGGGCCTGCCTGGTGGGGGGCTGTCGCTCTTCGGCCTTTTAGGGGGTGAGGGCAGTGCTGATATGGGGCCCAAGGCTTAGGCATGCCAGGCAGGGCCTGCCACGGACCCTCATGAATTCTGACTGCAGCTGGGTTCTCATTCCCCAGTCTGCGGGCCAGCAGGGCTGAGACTTCTCTGCTCCGGACAAACTCGGCCGGCCTCGCTCCTAGCTGCGTTCCCAGCCTCAGGGCCCTGTGTCCTGTGAGGCCTGAGGCAGTAGGGTGCCCTAGGCAGTAGGGTGCTCTGGTAGATTTGGGGTCTGACAAGCCTTGCTGAATAGAGTGTGTAACACTGTGATAGTTCCGGTGTGGATGTGTGCAGAGCCTAACTGGGGAGGAAATGGCTGGCTATTTCTGTATGCTTGCACAAACACTGTAACCACAGCATCAACTGTAAGGGACAAGTCCACCCGCAGGGGTCTACGAATAAGATAGTGAGCCTGGAAGGGTGCCCTCAGCGCTGTCCCCATGGCCTGGCCGTTGGCAAGCTGGCCCTGTCCTCTGTCTGAGGCCGATGCTCTGTCCCTGGCTTGTGGCCTGTAATGGAAGGCATGTGCGCTCTCTTCTGTACGGCACACCCTTGTGCAGTCAGACCTGGGGAGCCCTGCGTGCCACAGTGTGGGGACACTTTCTCAGGCTGTGGGGGACAGTGAAACACATCTGAAAACGTTTCCCAAGAGAGCTGAAGCCCCTGTGTGGAAGAGGTCGTGGGGTGGGCAGCAGGGCAGTGGGTCTGGAACAGGAGGGTCCCGACTGGAGGTTTGGGGGGCAGGGAGGAGCTGCAGCCCTTCCTGGGAGGTAGTGGAAGTAGCTGTGCGTGGCGTCATCTGAGGGAAGAGCCACTCGTGAGATGCCCTTGGGACCATACAAAGGGCTGCATTAGCTGTGACCGTAAAAATGTGTGCTGTCCTCATGATTTTTGTCTTTGTTGTTGGGGTTTTTGTTTGTTTGTTTGTTTTTGTTTTTTGAGCCAGGGTTTCTCTGTGTAGCCCTGGATATTCTGGAGCCCTCTCTGTAGACCAGGCTGGCCTCGAACTCGCAGAGATCCTCCTGAATGCTGAGTTAAAGGCGTGTGCCACCACACCAGGGTGGTCTTTATGAGCATTAAGTTTTTTCTTCAGGGCTGGTTCAGTGAGTAAAGTACTTGTGTACACGGTAAAGCTTGAGTTCAGATCCCTGGTAGCCGTGAAAAAGTCTGCGGCTGTGACTCCAGGCTGGGGTGGAGAAGGGGCTCTGGGGGCTGCTTAGCCCGTTGTCTAGCCCAGGCAGCCAGCTGCAGCTCATTGAGGTCCTGTGCGACTGGGCCGTACAGGGGGACAGCCTCCGAGTTCGTGTGTGAGTGTGTGTGTGTGCTCTCGCGTGCCTGGGAGAGAGTGCCCAAGCTCCAGGTCAGTGAGGCGCTGTGTCCCTAAGGTAGGGAGCAATGGACAGGGCTTGCCCTTGCCTCCCACATGTACACGTGTGGGAAAGGGCGCCTCGCACACAGGTGCACCTGTATATCACACGCGATTTCTTGTTGTTGATATATATGTTTGTTTTTAAGACATGGTTTCTTTGTGTAGCTCTGACTGTCCTGGAACCTGCTCTGTGGACCAGGCTGGCCTCGAACTTTCTTAGATTTACCTGCCTCTGCCTCCCGAGTGCTGGGGCTAAAGGGGCCGCCATGACTGGTGAAATAATATTTAACTTTAAAAAATCTTTTGGGGTTGTGAGGTGGCTCTGCCACTAAAGGCACTTTTCTCTGCATCTGATGTTGGGGTTCAATCCCAGGCACCCACATTCACAAGTTGTCTTCCGACCTTCACACACACAGCAGCAAATCCTTCTCTTCATAGTGACAAGTGCCTGGGGAATGGAAAGTAGTAAATTATCATTTAATACACCGAAGCTTATAGAGAGTGTTGGAGGCACGAGTTCAGAAGCATTGAGCTCCGTCAGAGTGCTCCAGACAGCGTTTCTGAGGACTTGGGGGCTGCTGTTCCTGTGAGTTCGCCCGGGTTCCAGTATTTTCGTTCCTGCTATATCAGTGTCGTGTGTGTCTGGGGGTCGTGTGTGTGTGTGTATGTGTGTGTGTTTTCACCGGCAGTCTCGGTGGTGTCTTAGTTCTTGTCACCATGATCACGTGTTGGTTGCCTGTTGCCTCCGTGACAAGTGACCCTGACGGCGCTGGGACAAGGCAGAGGTCCCATGAGCCCTCACGGAAAGCCTGACCTGGCTCACCCTGGTTGCATGGAGAAGCTCAGGAGGCCACGGCAGCCAGCAGTGCTGGCCCAACACCCCTGGCCCCGTGGGCGAGCCTCGGCATGCCTGGACCAGCTCCTGGCAGTGCGTGGTGTCCCTCGAGAGCCCTGAGAGAGAGGCCCCTCCAAAGAGTGTGCCCGCCTGGCTGTCCTTCCTGCTGGCACAGGCCTTGGGGGAGCTCAGTCCAGAGCCGCAGGCCTAGCCTTTGTTCCCACGCAGAACAATCAGCTCTCTGGTGCCGTGTGGCTGTTTGCTTTTTAACGTTCTGAACATGGCTGTCTCCCTCCTAGACAAGGCGCCTCTATCCAAGAGTCTTCTGCTGGTGCCCGGTGCCCTGTCCCTTCTGCTGGCGCTCCTGCTGCCCCACTGCCAGCGGTTCTTCCTGTACGACCTCCGTGCCGTCAAGAACGACCTCCAGGTAGGCCCCCGCACCCCTGGCCTCCGAGAGGAGGGCGCTTTTCTAGACTGGCCTCCTTCCTGCGACTCAGTCGTCCCTCAGAACCCCGCAGGCTTCCAAAATGCTGCCTTAAAGTTCTGCTCTAAGAGCGTTCTTGTATTTTATTATCTCTGCTGTCTCTATCGCCCACCAGCCTTCCAGCCCCTCTCCCGGCATGCCCTTCTCCCAGCCTCAGCTCTTCCTCTTCCTCATCAGCATGACCCTGTGCACACGGATGTAGGCCACTCTCTGGAGCATGGGCAGGTGACCATCGGGTCACACCTTTAAAGACAACTGACACCTCTCTGAACGGCCGTCAGCTGCCAGTGTCTCCTCGGCGAGGCTAGAGCATGGCCGGCCTGATCTTGTGTGGCTCTTGTTCAGGCTGCCACAGTGGTGAGTTCCCGAGGGTGACAGCCTGACAAGTAGTAGACACAGTTCCACAGCACTTTGCCCAGCTCCTGGCTCTGTGATCTTCCTGTCCCCTTCTTGGCAGTGCTGCCTAAGCCACAGGAGGAATGGCTGTGAGCAGGCACTACACTTGGGGCTGAGCACGAGTCAGTAGTGAAGAGTGGATGCTTCTCAGCCCCATGAGTTCAGCTCTGTCGCAGGTGTTGCTGGAGAGCGATGCAGGCCAGAGGTGACCTTGAGGATGGCGGTAAAGCCCGAGTTACTTAGGGCTAGTTACCAGCTTCATTTGCAATCAACCACTGTCTGGTCCAGGCAGTGGAGCTGCCTGGACACAGTGCATGTCAGTAAGCCCCTGAGTCCCATGTTCCTGGTGATGAAGGGCTGTGCCCGGTGTGGATTGGGAGGACTCGGAGTGGCCTGTTAGCCTTCCTGCAGCGACTCGTGTGACCATGATAATGCGAGTCTGTGCTGGCCTGGAGCTGCATTGTGATTCTGGTCCTCTTGTGCACCCGAGGCCTCTGGCATGGCTGCCTGTGATGATGTTTCTGCCTCTGTGGACCTTTTCCTCCGCCTGGCCTCTTGACGGAGCCTCCTCACTCGGGCCCACTGACTTCAGGGAATTAGACTGCTCTCGGCCTGTCTTTTGTGGTCCTGGGATGGCTGTTCCCGCTGTTCGTGGCAGTACAGTCCATGGCAGAAGCGCTGTCAGTAGACAGATGGACAGACACGATGTTACACACACAGGCCTTGTGGTATTCCCTGAGGAGTGAAAGAGTGAGGCTAACGTGTGCCTCCCTGTGAACCCTGGGAATGCTGTTCCCAGGTAGGGAGCAGACGCAGGAGGACAGCTGCTGTGTGCCCCACTCATGTTAAACACGAGCACAAAGTTGGGCTGGGGGAAGGCTGGCAGCTTAGTGCTGCATCCTAAATGGTGCAGCATTTAGGATGGTAGCCTAGCGCACACCACTGAACATGCTCAGCATCACTGAGGTGTGTACGGAAACATAGTAAACATGGTAAAATTTACCTCAGGTTTCACAGCAATTCAAAGGAAGCACAGGGTTGCTTTGTTCCGGTAGGAGGGGAGGTGAAATCAGAGCTTTGCAGGTGTCATCAGCACCATTTCAATTTGCAAAATATCAAAGACTCAAAACAGGCTTTTGAGAGGCAGCACTTTCCTTCTGCAGTTCATTGTTTCTCACCTTGCCAAGATGAATTCAGAGTTTTAAGCTGCTGTTTTATCAGCACGTCCTCAGAGCTGCCATGCATGTGGCTCTTTGGTGATTAAGCTCAGAATTGTAGTTTTGAATTTTACCCAAATTGTCAGTTACAGCTTTGCTTTTGAATTCAGTAGCGTAAAATAAGCATTCGTTAGTCTTTGATTCCAGCTGCTGTGTTTGGGCCTGAGTGTGTCCTGCTAAACACCCCTTTCTTTATATGACTCCCTTTTGTGTGAGTGTGGTGCTGGTGAGCATGTCCTGGTGCCGCGTGTGGGGCTCAGGGAACAGGTCTGTGGGGTCAGTTGTCTCCAGCCACTGAGACGTGGGTCCTAGGGCTTGAACCCATGGCGTCAGGCTTGGCAGCGGGCACCCTGGCTGCTGGGGACTGGGTGCAGGCCTTGCTGTTGCCTTAGCAAGACCTTCTGAGAAGCAGAGCCTCCCTGTGGTGGGGGCTGTCTGGGGTGGGCCTGCCTGAGCTTGGCCTCCCTGCCGCAGGGGCTGTCTGGGGTGGGCCCTTCCTGCGGCGAGGGCTGTCCAGGGTGGGCTTGGGCTTGGCGTGTGCAGTGGCCTCGGGGAGCCCGAGGGTGGGCTGGGCAGGCTCCCTCATTGCCCTGTTCTGACCCTCTGTAGGTTTGGAGGCTGATATGCGGAAGGATAATTTGCCTGGACTTGAAGGATACCTTCTGCAGTAGTCTTCTGATTTACAACTTCAGAATATTTGAGAGAAGATACGGGAGCAGGAAGTTTGCAGTAAGTTATCCACGATAGAGCGTTTCCGCTGCAGCTCCAGATGAAGTGGCTGTCTGTACTCCTTATTTGCCTGTTTGTCCCTCTGGGGTCTCCCGTGTGGGGAGTGCATTTTACCTGGCTGCCGCCTCTCCAGCCCTCACTTTTCATTGTGTAAACTTGAAGGAAGGTCCTGTCGGCTCACCCGGGCTGGCCTCTGGGATTGCAGCTGGGCAGTGCTGTGCTGGACCCTGTTTTAAAATGCCCTCCACTTTCAAAACCTAGGGTATTATTTATAATTATCTCTTCAATTACATGATTCTAGATCTGATTTGTGGCTTGCACATTAACCAAAGAAACATTTAAAATTTAAGCCAGTACCATGATAAAATAATGAAATGATGGTGATGATAATACGTGAAATTAAGCATATGCCAGTTATAAAAATTTTAATTAGAAATTTAGCTAACAAAATTCTAGCCTCTTATTGGTGTAATGGTATATGGGCTACTTCTCAGCATTATGTTTTAATTAAATGTCTCCTTCAACATATCTAGAAGTTATAGAAACTGATCCATATGAACAGTTACGGTTTATTTCCCAACTTTGAAAAGTAACAAAAACAAATAATATGGAACTATGCTTATGCATGATCGTATGTATGTCATGTGTATGTGTGTATGTTGGTGCATGCCTGTGTCTCCAGACTGTACTCCTACCCGCCCCTCAGCTCACGCTAACTGAACAGCTGTTACTCACCTTCTGCTTTCCGCTTTCTTTTTCAGTCCTTCCTGCTGGGTTCCTGGGTCCTGTCAGCCCTGTTTGACTTCATCCTTGTGGAAGTTGTACAGCATTCGTTTGATGTCACTGTGGCCAGTAATCTACCTTCTGGATTGTAAGTAGCTCGTGGTTATGCATTTAGTATTCTTCATGCTATTTGAAATACTGTCATCCAGAACCACTCGCCAAAAGTCTTCTACGTTGGCCACACCTTTAGTCTAGGCACTGAAGCAGAGGCAGGAGGATTGCTGTGAGTTCAAGGCCAGCCTGGACTACATTGTGAATTCCAGAACAGCCGGGCTACATAGTGAGTGTGATTCTGTGTAAAACAGATTTTACACTTCCAGACAGAGTAAGTGTGTAATGAAAACCCAGCCCTTGCACATCCTTATGCTCGTAATCTAATCAATTGCACAGTAATTTCCTTTTCTTTCAGCTCTGAAATCATTCCAGAGCTTTTGTTCGTTTGTGTGAGGCGTGGTCTCTAAGTCTCTTGTGTGTCAGGCTTTCTGTGCCACTGCAATAAGCCTACGTGCCTGAGCTCCTGAGAGTGAATCTGTCCTGAGTGTTTTTATAGTGATACTGTGCTGTTGGAATTTTATGAGCTAGACACAAAAGCCCATTTGATTGGACCGGATGATGAACGTACTGAAGGTGAGTTTCTGAGGAGACCTGTAGGTTATTATTTCTGTGACTCCCTTGGATGTAGAGCCATGGCTGTGCAGGAAACAGCTTTGCGCTTCCTGCACTCACAGACCACTCACTTGTGCTTCCTGTGTGCTGGTCCTCCCACTGACTGGTGGAGTGGCTTCGCGCCGAGAGCAGCACTGTCAGTGCGTGCAAGGCCTCACTGGTGCCAGAGTGTCGTGTGGGAGCCTGTGTCTGAGCGACACGGTAGTGTGACGTGGAGAGACTGAGTGATGTGAGGTTCTGTGCACGCTAACTTAGCCTCGGTCTGGTCTGGCACTCTGGGCTGAGAGCTGTTGGGTGTGTTAGGCTGTGGTCCCTAGGAGCCCGGGTCTCTTGGCTGTGGCTGGCGCTGAGTGGTGAGTGCACCCTTTAGGCTCTGGTAGCTCCTGAGGTTCATCTGCGTGCAGGCCGGGTCCCCGTCATCACTGCTGTGCACTGTGGACACACTGACCGCCCAGAGTCGCTCGGGTTGCCAGCGTGCAGGGCCAGGGTGAGGGTTCTCCTGCGCGGGCGCAGTGTAAAAAGGCTCCGTGCCTATGGCATCGCCAAGACTCATTTCCTTGGGCAGAGCTCACCAGGCCGGCTCTGGTGGCCAGCATGGGCTGCCGAGTTCCAAGGCGTGTGAGATGTTAGTGCAGGATGAGACTAGATCGTAGATAGTAGTGATGCAACAGGCCGGATGACTGAAGCTTGATCCCTAGAACTCACGGGTGGGGGGAGGAGAAACGTGAATTGTCCCGTGACCCCCAGATGTGTCCTGTGGCCTACACACGCACGCACACACTCCACACACTTACACTGGAACACTCACGTATACACACATTCACACACCTAGACACACTCGGGTGCTCACGGTCACATACTGCGTACATTCACGATCCAGGCGCGCTCACATCCTCTCACACACATTCACTCACACAGACTCACACTCCCCATACTCACACATTCTCAAATACACATGCTCCACGCACACACACTTTCACATATACGCATACATAGTACAGACTCTCATACACACACGCACGCACACACACACATAAAGTCAGTGTAAAGAATGGAAACATGGGGCTGGAGGATGGCTCAGGGGTGAAGAGCACTGGGCTCCTCCAGAGGACCTGGGTTCAATTCCCAGCACCCACATGGCAGCTCACAACTGTCTGTAACTCCAGGGGATCTGACACCCTCACACAGACATGTATTTGGGCAAAATAGCAATGCGTGTAAAGTGAAAGTCATTAAAAACCCTTTGTATAAAGGGAAAGAGGCTGGAATAACCGCTGAGGCTGTGCTGGTGTCAGACCAACCGACCCTGCCCCCATGAGGCGGACTCCACCATCTGTGAGCTCTTGCTTCGTTTCGGAGGCTCGGCCGGCCGTGCTGCCCCTGGGCTCCAAGAGCTGCGCTGTCCTTGCTTGCGCGGCACACTTGGGCGCCGAGGGAGGGCTGGCTGTACACGCGCTGCACTCAGACTCGTGTGGAAACTGCCGTGATGTCC